TCTGGTCAACAAAGACAAACGATCATATACAATAAAAATAGGTCCCTACTCTCATGAATAAATAAATACCTATAATTTCAGATGTCATTACAGCTGTGAAGAAAATAATGAAATAGATTATAACAGAGTGTCTTTGAGGAAGCGGTAATGAACTATTAAATAGAGAAGGCAAGAAGAGTTTCTCTGGGCTGAATTAGCCAAATCAAGAGAAGCAGCCAGCCTTGCTGAGTTGGGGGTATCCAGGCAGAGGAGATAACAAACACAGAGGTTCCCAGGCAGATAAAAGCTTAGGATGTTAAGAACAGGAAAAAAAAAGTCCTGCCTGTGTGGCTTGGAGCTGAATAAAGGAGGATGGAAAAATTGATGGGAAATGATATCAAAGAGTTAGGCAAGTCCCTTATCCCATGTATGATTTACAAACATTTTCTCCCAGTCTGTGGGCTGTCTCTTCACACTGTTGATTGTTTCTTTTGCTGTGCAGAAGCTTTTTAGTTTGATGCAATCCCATTTGTCTATTTTTGCTCTCATTGCCTGTGCTTTTGGGGTCATATATAAGAAATGTCTGCTCAAACCAATGTCATAGAGCTTTTCCCTTATGTTTTATTTCAGTAGTTTTATAGTTTCAGATCTTAAGTTTAAGTCTTTCACCCATTTTGAGCTGATTTTTATATATGTGGTGAGATAAGAATCAATTTTCATTCTACATGTGGATATTTAGTTTTACCAACTAAAGGGAATGAAGAGAATGTTCTTTCCCTGTTATGTGTTCTTGGCACCTTTGTTAAAAATTAATTGGCCACAGTTGTATAGGTTTATTCTGGATAAGGAGTTAATATCCAAAATATACAATTAACTTAAACTACTCGATAACATGGAAACAAATAACTCTATTTTAAGGGCAAAGGAGCTGAAAAAATGTTTCTCAAAAGGAGACACAGAATTGCCAATAGATATATTAAAAAATGTTTGACATCTCTAATCATCAGAGAAATGCACCTTAAAACAATGAGATATTAACTCATGCCTGTTAAATTACCCATGATCAAAAAGATGAAAGATAAGTGTTGGTGAGAATGTGGATAAAAGGGAAACTTTCCCACTGTTGGTGGTATTGTAAATTAGTACAGCCATTTGGAAAACAGTATGGAGGTTCCTCGAAAATTTAAAAATAGAATTACCATATGATCCAGCAATCCCACTTTTGGGTCTACACCCGAATAAAATGCCATGAGTATGCTGAAGAGTTACCTGCACTCCTGTGTTCACTGCAGCATTATTCACAATAGCCAAGATATGGAATCAACCTAAGTGCCTATCAATGGATGAATGGATTTTTTAAATGCAGTATATGCACACAATGCCATACTATTACTCCTTAAAAAGCAGGAAATTCTTTCATTTGAGATAATATGAATGAATCTAGGGGATATCATGCTAAGTGAAATGAGCTAGGCACAGAGAGGCAAATACCACATGATCTGATCTCATGTGTATGTGGGATCTAAAAAACAGTTGAACTCAGAAGTAGAGAGTAGACAGCAAACTAACACAGGAACAGAAAACCAAATACCACCCACGTGTTCTCACTCATAAGTGGGAGTTGAACAATGAGAACACACGGACAATGGGAGGACACACTCCCACACACACCAGGGCCTGTCAGGAGGTAGGGAGCAAGGCGAGGGAGAACATTAGGTCAAATACTTAATGCACAAGGGGCATAAAATCTAGATGATGGGTTGATAGGTGCATCAAACCACCATGGCACATGTATACCCATACAACAAACCCATTCCTGATATGTATCCCAGAACTTAAAGTAAAAAAAAAAAAAGAGTAGACAGTAGAATGGTGGTTACCAGAGGCTGGATGTGGGGCAGACGGGTGTGGACAGGGAAAGTAAAGATGCTGGTCAAGGTTTCAATTAGGAGGAATAGGTACTGGTGGTCTATTACACAGCATGGTAATTACAGTTAATAATTCAAAAGAATAGATTTTAAATGTTCTCACTGCAAAGAAACTGTAAGTATGTGAGATGGTGGATATGTTAATCAACCTAATTTGATCATTTCACAATGTATTCATGTATTGAAAATCACCTCACATTGCATTCCATAAATATGTACAATTAACATTTGTCAGAGTTTGAGTTTTATTCTAAGGTGGCTGGAAGTCACTGAAACTTTTAGGCAGGGTAGGGCACTACACAACTTACATTTTACAGAGATCAGGCACTTGACTTACAAAATCTCTCCATGCAGGATCCTTCCTGTTCTTTCCTGATTTGTAGAAATCTCTGATGCCCTAAAAGAGCTCAGAGTATCAAGATAAGAGGAGCCATGTTGAGGCTCCTAGATAATCACATGAACGGCCTTCTTCTAACCAGCAACACTAATGTTGAGTTGTTATGGAGTAAAAGTACACTTTATTTTATTAAATCAATGAGAGAAGAAAAGAGGAAAAGAGAGAGAAGGAATAACAGAAGGAGAGGAGAGGGAAAGATTATTCTGGCTGTTACATAAACAATTCAAATGTGGGGTCAGGAAATGAACAAAAGAGAAGGTAGAAAGACCTTCTATTTCCCTTGTAACACTTTAAATAGAACAGGTTTCTCTCTCTCTCTGCCCCCCTTTCTTTCCTTTTTTTCTTCCTTTTCCATCTCTTTCCTTCTCTTCCTCCTTCCTTTCTTTCTTTCATGGATTCAATCAAAAACCAGATAAACTGTGGCATGAACAAATAGTCAACCATCTTCTTTATAGATGCTGGCTATTAAGGAAAGCAATATAAAATAAAAGTGGCAGCCCAAGTTGACCTAAGGCAACATTTCTCAGGTACCCTACTTCTCCTTTCAAAAGCTAGGTTTTATATTTTTTTTCATCATTAGATGACGATATTAAACCTCAGACGTCTTTTTGTGTCCTTGTCAGATATGTAACATTGGCTTTCACAGCCATTGGCTACAAAAATAAAGTAAGTTGTAGTCTATAACCAAATAATTGCTAACCCAGCATCTCCTTCCCCAGATACTCCTACTGTCCAAGCACTATATGTACATTATGTGTATACCTATATTCATATTTACTCACCAACAAGCATTCATTGAGCACTTACTTTGTACTAGGCACAGTTCTGACTGCTAGTGATACAACAGTGAGGTCAATGGACAAAATCTCTGCTCATTTCTCTTTACATTAGTCAACAACCATGGACAAGACAGGTGAGACCCCTAGTCTCATAGACAAACACACATCAGCTCAGATGCTGATAAGAGCTATGAAGAAAATAATAGAGTGTAATAAATAGAGTGTCTGAAGAAAGAGAAGGGGAATGCAAACTAGGGCAGCCATGGAAGCTGGCATTCTTGTGCAGAGGAAAGAGACGATAAACAAACAAACAAAATGTGTCCAATGGATAAAGCAGTAAGGATTGCACAATGGTGAGGAGAATGTTAAGAAGTGGGTTAATATACAGGATAAAGTCATGTATTCAAGCCTTGTGATTTTTTCAGTTATGGGGTTCAGAGAAAAGGAATGAGTCAAGGAAAACTCCTCTACTTCTGGATTGTGCAATGGATGGTGGTGTCATTTAGGGACACCAAAGGAAAACAGAATTTGTGGGGAGAAGATCCTGAGTTTTGTTCTGACATTCCTCTGTGATGTTCAAATGGTGACATTAGGTAGATAGATGATCAGCATCAATGACACAGATGATAAGTGGCATTTGGAGCATGCATGAGAGTTCATAAAAATCTGGTCTACACTCCAGGTTGGTATGACAGCCCCATGAATTTGTTCATGACTGGACTCTTCTACTTTCCCCCTCTATCATCCTGCAATTGTAGCCCTTGCCACATGGTCCAAGATGGCTGCTGGAGCTCCAGCTGTTAAGTCTGGTCAGACAGGGAGCACACTAGTGTTCCTCCTCTGCCATTAGTTTGCTTTTAGACCTTAGCAAACTCATTTCACTCTTTGGACCTGTTTGTCCATTTGATTTGTCAAGCTCCTTGCTGTTTTATCACATCCTGACTCCAGGTCAGAATGGGAGTTGAGTGGCTTCCATCCAAAGCAGAAAGTCTGCCGTCTTATGACAAAACAGAATACTGATATGACTGAGAAACTGACCTTTAACTGTTTCATTTCTTGTTGGTACTTTGAATAGGAGTTCTCCAGGGAACTCAGGGTAATTGCCTTTGTCTCTGCTTTGCAAGGGGCTGACTTTGATTCAATACTGTTTTCATCTGCAGGTTTAATTTGGCTCTTTTATCTGCATTAAACTTACTGGGAGCTATCCTTTATGTGGTGCCAAACACATCACATGACTGGGTATTACTGGTTGAATTTAGACTTGCCCTTCAGCTAAAGATCCTGGGTTGCTCTGACAGTTAGCATTGGGCAAGTTGACTTTCATCTCCCTCGGGATCCTGTCTCTGGGAGCTGTGGGAAATCTGAACCAGCCACTGGGTGTCAGCATTGCTTTGTCCATTTAAAGGAAAAATAAATATTTGTTTGGTTTGGGAGTTGTTTATGCAGTAAGTTTAGGCTCTAAAGTGAGCACAGCCACTTTACAATTTACATTTTATATAATTCACATTTTTATGGCACTTAGCATCAACCAAAGGAGTTCGCTTCTCTATCATTACGTCCGGACTCTCCCTGCTCGCTTCGGCTCTTCTATGTCCCTCGCCTGGATTACTGCAACAATCCCCATTTCCAGTTTTGTGTGCCTCAAGTCTATCTTTTTCATCCAGTTACAATCAGGACTGTAACAGGCTCATCTGCAGAATAATAAGCCACCTGTCACTGGAGGTTTGCAAACAGAAGCCAGAAAACTTCCTGGCAGGAATTTTTGTAGAGAAAAATATGTGTAAATAAATGTATTATAAACATAAACACTCATATATGTTGTATATACATATATAGTCACGGGTTATAAATATTTTGGTCCACAATGGCCCACATATGTAACAGTGGTCCCATAAGATTATAATACCATATTGTTACTGTATCTTTTCTATTTTTAGGTATGTTTAGATACACAAATACCATTGTGTTACAATTGTCCACAGCATTCAATATAGTAACAAGCCGTACAGGATTGTAGCTTAGGAGCTATAGGCTATACCATGTAGCCTAGGTGTGTAACAGGCTATACCATCTAGATTTGTGTAAGTAAACTCTATGACAGCAGTCCCCAACCTTTTTGGCACCAGGGACCAGTTTCGTGGAAGACAATTTTTTCCCAGGCTGAGTAGGGGGATGGTTTCTAGATGAAACTGTTCCGCCTGGGGATCATCAAAATTAGATTCTGACAAAAAGCACACAACCTAGATTCTTTGCATATGCAGCTCACAACAGGGTTTGTGTGCCTATGAGACTCTAATGCCGCTGCTGACCTGACAGGAAGCAGAACTCAGGTGGTAATGCCAGCTTGCCCAGTTCCTAATAGGCCACAGACCTGTACCAGACTGTGGCCTGGGGGTTGGAGACCCTTGTTCTAATCTATCTTTTTAGCAAAGAGAAAAACACGTCTCAGGCTCAGAACCTTGGCAGGTATATTAGTTATCTGTTGCCACATTAATATCTGTAGGACACAAAAACAACTCAGTGACCTTCAACAATAAACTTTTATTTAGCTTAGTAACCTGCAGGTCAGTCTTTAAGGCCAGTGGTTCCTTGGCCTTGGTCTGGACTTGCCTCAAAGTCTAGTGGTTAGATTCGCAGCTGGTTCTTGACTAAGATGACTGGACTCTGCTTCACGCATTTCTCACATCTTTTCAGTACACTATCCCAGGTGTGTTCTTACTGCAGAGGAGCAATCCCAGTTGCACAGGAGCTTTTCACGCTTCTGTGTGTGTCCGATCTACTAAAACAACATTGGACAGAGCAAGTGCTATGGCTAAATTCAGAATCAAGCAATGGAGACAGAAACTTTGCCCAGTTAGTGAGGGAAACCCAAAGTCATGTGGCAAAGAGGATGATACAAGATGGGATGAAAGATTAATTAATGGTCTCAGTGTATCTACTAGAGCAGGCGAGATTGTCTAGCCAGAATTTAGTAGAATTTCTTTTGTTATATTTTTTTTAAACTTTCTTTTGTGCCAAGTGATGAACGTTTTCAATGATGATAGTGACACAAAGCTTCTTTTAAAAACAAATTTGAGACAAATGTAGGTGAATGTAAAAAATCTTTTTCAAAAAGTAGGCCATGTGATACAGAGATATGACAAAAGTTATCAGAGGAAGGGAGTGACAAGTTAAGAAAACAGAAGCAGGATGACTATAATTGGATGCAAGCAGGGAATGCATGCAGGAAATGTTGCAGACTCAGCAAAATCAGCTTAATAAAGCCATGTATTGAGCTGAGTTAGGCTAAACAAACATTTGTTGAGTGTCAATTACCTGCCTGACCCAGTAGCAGAAGCCCAAGTGATAAAGAAGAAAAGCTCAAAGTCCCTCATAAAGCAGTATATATAACTTTGACACCCTAGGGTAAACTGTACATATAGTTGATGTGTTTCTGGGTATCTATAGAAATAGCACTAAGCTTGGGCTGGGAAGTGGGCATTGGGAAAGGACGCCCTGGAGGAGGCTCTGAAAGGATGAATAGAGAGTGCCCTGGTGAAAGGGTGAGGAGGGTGGGGAAGGGGTCTCCAGGGTTGAGCCTTTAAAGGCATGCAGAATATAAAATTATCCTTGGGAAAGTTTATTCTTATTGAAGCCCCATGTTTGAGACAGGAAATGAGACTGACTGTTGGGAGCAGCCAGGTGTAGACATCTTTAAGCTAGAATTCTGAAAAAGGCAGTTTAGAATCTATCTGGTTCCAAACAACGGTGAGCTACTGAAGGTTCTTAAGCAGGGAAAAGACATTGTTAGTTTTGTGTTTTAGAAATTTGCCCATCTATCCCTGCATTCAAAGAGATATCACATCTAATCTAGTCATATTTAGCTATATATATAAATACACAAGCAGCCATGTGTCACTTAATGATGGGCATACATTCTGAGAAATGTATCATTAGGCAATTTTATTGTTATATAGACAACATAGAACAGGGGTCCCCAAGCCCCAGGCTGTGGACTGGTACCAGTCTATGTCCTGTTAGGAACCGGGCCACACAGCAGGAGGTGAGTAGCAGATGAGCGAGCATTACCAGCTGAACTCCGCCTCCTGTCAGATCATTGGCAGCATTAGATTGCCATAGGACTATGAACCCTATTGTGAACTGTGCATGCAAGGGATCTAGGTTGTGCATTCCTTATGAGAATCTAATGCCTGACGATCTGAGGTGGAATAGTTCCATCCCGAAATCATACCCCCTCCATCTGTGGAAAAATTGTCTTCCATGAAACCAGTTCCTGGTGCCAGAAAGATTGGGGATGCCTGGATTAGAAAGTACTAGAGAAGTATTACAATGTATACACAGGTCAAGACATTACAGAATACCCCGCCCTCCATACCCAATATACCCCATAAATATACACGATCACTATTTGTCGATTTAAAAAGAGAAAGTGTTAGAGAAGTGTTAAAGCACTAGCACTCAATTCAGAATGTCTCCCTGAAATAGACAGAATGAAATGAAACTGCAAAGGGAATAATTGTCTCACTTCATAACTCACATGTGATTTATAATAGTTTACATATAAAATTACCTTTCCCACACTTTGTGATAGACTGCCCTAGATCTTGCCCTTTCTGACTTTTTTTGTGAACAAAGGATATAACTTCCAAAATAGTCTTATGCTCATTGCCTATAAGCTAAAGCCCAAAACTTGATCCACATTCCATGATTGGTCCTAGCCCTGCTCCACACCCCAGGCTTACATACTGTCCCCCTTCTTTACATAATCAATGCAACAACCCAACTTCTTCAATGTTTTTTGAGCACCAACTGCAGCTGCTTAGACAGAGTCCTAAGAAACTTGTTCAGAGTCACGTAGCTAGCAAGTAGAGAACTAGCTACGAGGTGGGGGACAAGGTGACGATTAAGATGCAGTCTTCACTTTTATCAAGCTCTCAGCTTCTAAGTGAAACACGGAAGCAGCCACATAACTACTGTAGTACATAAAAAATAATTGCAGAAAACTGTAGAAATCCATAGGACTGGTTTCTAACACAAACAGTTGGAAGTAGGAGAAACTTGAATTAGAGATGGATCTGAAGGGGAAGTCATGGTATTATATAAAATGAAACCTCTCCGGAGACTTCCACTACAGCCTGGAATAAGTATATACTTTTCTGGACCCCCATCGTACTTCACAGTACATCTTTTGTTATTTATACTTCATTCATCCATTTTCTTAGACTACTGACTCTTTGAGAATATTGATCATTCATCTTTGCACCCACCACAGCAGTAGCAGGTCACAAAGCAAATACCAGATACTGGCACATGTTTGGCTCATGGATGGGTGAACAGATGGATAAGTGGATGAGTGAAAGAGAAGCTTGTGGCACTCTTTAAGGGTCTTCATTTAGGTAGCTACCTAATCCTGTGATTCGTAAATCTGGCAGCCATAAAGTCTGTTTAGGTAGCTGTAAAATACATATTCACTGAGACCTGCTTCCTTAGAATATCCTGATTTGACAGATATAGGGTGGGTCTCAGTAATCCATATTTTAGTACACTTACCAGAAGATTCTGATGCATCTGGTCCAAGGACTTCAGGCTTGGGAATCATATGGCTAACTCACCTGAGTGTCACGTTGGCTCCATACTCTCAGGTGTCCTATTTTTGAGATGTTTGGCCTCTTTTTCACTGATGGTTCAGCCTACTCAGGTAATCTGCAAGAGAAAAGTACACTTATGACTTGGAAAATTCCATAAGGAGTTGTAATAGTAGTACTAACACTAATATACTGCCACGTATTACATATCTAGCAAGCGTCTGGCATTCTTCTGAGTGCTTTTATAAATAGCTCCTTATTTAATACTATCAGCAACCTCACTAAGGTAGGTGCTCCTTGTTAACCCCAGCGTATTAATGAAGAAACAGAGGCACAAGGAAGCTTAGTGGCCTCTACGTGGTAACGTTGGAACTCAAATCCAAGCCTATCTGACCTCAGAGTCCCATGACCATAGTGTGTGAAGCTAATATGCACAAGACCCACATAGGTATCCAGACTAAGAGGAGAACTGGTGAGCATGGGTCAAACTAAAGTTGGAAGAACCTCAGCTAGTTACAAAAAAGATGTTGGTCGAAGAGAATTTAAGGAAATGAAAAGAGCACCATACAAGGAAGTTAAGCAATGTGAACTTGAATCCTAGTGCTGTCAACAACAAGAATAGTAAGCACACATATGTAGTTTATTTTGTGCCTTACACACAGGAACATATTTAATCTTCACCACAATCATGTGAGGTAAGCACTGTTGTTACCACCATTTTGCAGCAAGGTAACTGAGGCACAAGGAGGTTAAGAAACTTGTTCAGAGTCACGTAGCTAGCAAGTAGAGAACCAGGACACAGATCCAGACCACCCAGCTCCAGAGCCCACCAAACTCTTAGCCACCAAACTGCATAGTACTTAACCACATAAACGGTGGCCGTTTCTTTCCCTCTCCCTTATCTAGGCATCACATACAAAATGGAAGAATTAGCTTAAACAATCCTCACTGTTTCTTACAACTTTGCTATTTGGGAGTCTAATTTTATTTAAAGATCATTTTAAAAGGGTATAGATTCCCCTTTTCTATAAGAATATTTTTAAAGTAGATGTTTTCTTGAGGAAGAATTAGATAAAGTCTTGCTTGAAGCCAGAGAGTTCAGCAGGCAACCTCTCAAGGTCAAGAAGCAATGATAGCACAACCATAGGAACTTTCTAGGAAGCAAATGGAGTGAGCACCTTGCTTCCAAGGACACATTACAGTCAAAGACCTTAAGAAGCTCATTGTCAAAGTGGCACCAAGATGGCCGAGAGGAGGCAACACTGGAATGCAGCTCCCAGCAAATGAGACACAGAGGGCTCAAGGACTTCACGATTCCAAGTGAGGTGCTGGGTTCATTTTGTGGGGACTGGAAGGACTCTGAAAATAGCCCAGGGAAGGAGCCAAAGCAGGGTGAGAGCCGCCCAGGGAGGATAAACTGAGACAGGGAAGGGCACGTCCCCATCTGGAATGTGCAGCCGGCTTGGAAGGTCAGAGGACTTCACCCCCTTGGTGCTCTGATTCGGATCCTGTGCTTACCTCATCCCTCCTGCAACCCACGGTCCATGAGAGCCCTGCCAGACTGAGGGGTACCATGGGTTGTTGATGCAAATTTGAGCAATAGCTCCCACCTGGTGCCACAAGTTGTTGGCCAGACCTGGCCAGAAGTTTGGACTAATGCCAGCAGGATGGAACAACCCATCCCACAAAAAGAGGCAGAGTTGAAAACAGGGAAACAGGTCATAAGGCCTGGCAGGCTCCATCCCCCACAAAACTCAGACTGAAGCCTGAGTGCCAGAGAGCTTGGCAGTGAATATACCAGTTTGACCCTAACCAGGAAGATTGAGTTCAGGGAAGGAGAGACACCATTGGGAAGGCGGGGCCAATTTCACCTGCAAACAAACCCCAGGGGAAGACCTCCCACCCAGCAACCTGACTGAATCCGAGGTATCCCAGCATTGCTTCTACAGGCCAAAAAAGATGTAGTTCCAACCCCAACAAAAAGGATGTCCACTCAGAGATTCTTCCCAAAATCACCAACTTTAAAGATCAAAGGGAGATAAGTCCATGAAGATGGGATAAAACCAGTGCAAAAAGGATGAAACCTTCAAAGACCAGAACATTTCTTCCCCTCCCAGTGATCACAACTCCTCACCATCAAGGGAGCCAAACAAGACAGAAAATGAGTGTGATGAATTGACAGAAGCAGGCTTCGGAAGGTGGATAACACCAAACTTCTCTGAGTTAAAAGACCATGTTCTAACCCAATGCAAAGAAATTAAGAACCTTGAAAAAAGGTTAGATGAAATGCTAACTAGAATAATCAGCTTAGATAAGAACATAAATTACTTGATGGAGCTGAAAAACACAGCATGAGAACTTTGCAAGGCATGCACAAGTTTCAACAGCCTAATCTATCAAGCAGAAAAAAGGATATCAGAGAATGAAGAGCAAATCAATGAAATAAAACAAGAAGGCAAGATTAGAGAAAAAAGAGTGAAAAGAAACAAACAAAGCCTCCAAGAACTATGGGATTATGTGAAAAGACCTGATCTACGCTTGATTGCTGTACCTGAATGTGACAGGGAGAATGAATCCAAGTTGGAAAACACCCTTCAGGATATTATCCAAGAGAACTTCCCCAACCTAACAAGGCAGGCCAACATTCAGGAAATACAGAGAGCACCACAAAGATACACCTCAAGAAGAGCAATCCCAAGGCACATAATCGTCAGATTCACCAGGGTTGAAATGAAGGAAAAAATCCTAAAGGCAGCCAGAGAGAAAGGTTGAGCCACCCACAAAGGAAAGGCCATCAGACTCATGTGGGTCTCTCAGCAGGAACTCTACAAGCTAGAAGGGAAGGGGGGCCAATATTCAACATCCTTAAAGAAAAGAACTTTCAACCTCAGAATTTCATATCCAGCCAAACTAAGCTTCATAATTAAAGGAGAAATAAAATCCTTAAAATAAAATCCAATAAAATTGCTTGTCCAGCAATGGACAATTGCTGAGAGATTTTGTTGCTACAAGACCTGCATTACAGGAGCTACTGAAGGAAGTACTAAACAGGGAAAGAAACAACCAGTACCAGCCACTGCAAAAACGTACCAAATGGTAAAGAACAACAACACAATGAAGAAACCACATCAACTAACAGGCAAACCAACCAGCCAGTAACAAAATGGCAGGATCAAATTCAATCATAACAATACTAACATCAAAATTGAAAGAAATAGAGGAGCAAGATTAAAAAAACTCAAAAGTAAGCAAAAGACAGGAAATAACTAAGATCAGAGCAGAACTAAAGGAGATAGAGACACCACAAAACCTTCAAAAAAATCAATAAACCCAGGAGCTGGTTTTTGAAAAGATCAACAAAATAGACCACTAGCTAGACTAATAATAAAGAAAAGAGAGAAGAATCAAATAGATGCAATAAAAAAATGATAAAGGAGAGATCACCACCGATTCCTTAGAAATACAAACTACCATCAGAGATTAGTACAAACAGCTCTATGCACATAAAGCAGTAAATCTGGAAGAAATGGATAAATTCCTGGACACTTGCACACTCCCAAGACTAAGCCAGGAAGAAGTTGAAACCCTGAATAGACCGATAACAAGGTCTGAAGTTGAGGTGGCAATTAATAGCCTACCAACCAAAAAAAAATCCAGTTCCAGATGGGTTCACAGCTGAATTCTGCCAGACATACAAAGAGGAGCTGGTACCATTCCTGTTGAAACTACTCCAAACAATACAAAAAGAGGGAATCCTCCCTAACTCCTTCTATGAGACCAATATCATCCTGATACCAAAACCTGGCAGAAACAAAACTAAAAAAGAAAACTACAGGCCAATATCCATGATGAACATTGATGCAAAAATATTCAATAAAATACTGGCAAACCAAATCCAACAGCACATCAAAAACCTTATCCACCATGATCAAGTAGGCTTCATCCCAGGGATGCAAGGCTGGTTCAACATAGGCAAATCTATAAATGTAATTCACCACATAAACAGAAACAAAGACAAAAACCACATGATTATCTCAATAGATGCAGAGAAGGCCTTTGACAAAATTCAATAGCCCTTTATGCTAAAAACTCTCAATAAACTAGATATCAATGGAACTGGAACGTATCTCAAAATAATAAAAGTTATTTATGACAAACCTCCAGTCAATATCATACTAAATGAGCAAAAACTAGAATCATTCCCTTTAAAAACTGGCACTAGACAAGGATGCCCTCTCTCACCACTCCTATTCAACATAGCATTCTAGCCAGAGTAATTAGGCAAGAAAAAGAAATAAAGGGCATTCAATTAGGAAAAGAAGGGGTCAAATTGTCCCTATTTGCAGATGGCATGATTGTATATTTAGAAGACCCCATTATCTCAACCCAAAACCTCCTTAAGCTGATAAGCAACCTTGGCAAAGTCTCAGGATACAAAATCAATATGTAGAAATCACAAGCATTCCTACACACCAACAACAGACAAACAAAGAGCCAAATCATGAGTAAACTCCCATTCACAGTTGCTACAAAGAAAATAAAATACCTAGGAATACAAGTAACAAGGGATGTAAAAGATCTCTTCAAGGATAACTATAAACCACTGCTCCAGGAAATAAGAGAGTACACAAACAGATGGAAAAACATTCCATGCTTATGGCTAGAAGAATCAATATTGTGAAAATGGCCATACTGCCCAAAGTAATTTCTAGATTCAATGCTATACCCATCAAGCTATCATTGACCTTCTTCGCATAACTGGAAAAAACCACCTTAAACTTCATATGGAACCAAAAGAGAGCCCACATACCCAAGACAATCCTAAGCAAAAAGAACAAAGATGGAGGCATCATGCTACCTGACTTCAAACTATACTACAAGGCTACAGTAATCAAAACAGCATGGTACTGGCACCAAAACAGAGATATAGACCAATGGAACAGAACAAAGGCCTCAGAAACAATGCCACACATCTACAGCCATCTGATCTTTGACAAACCAGACAAAAACAATACCATTAAAAATGGTGTTGGGAAAACTGGCTAGCCATATGCAGGAAGCTGAAACTTCCTTACATCTTATACAAAAATTTCACCTTATACAAAAATTACACCTTAT